ATTGAATCTTCAAGGCTCCTTTACTGCTGGCTCTTTCTTGGTTCTTGTTCTTTCCTGCCCATGATGTCTCTAACAGCTTCCCTTGGTTACATGCAGCTGTGAATTCCTAGTGTCTTAAGGCCATCTGGCCCGGCTGTAGGCCTTTTCTTCCTTTAGCCTCATTCTCACATTGCTCTCTTGATACCTCCATTCAGCAATTCATAAAACACACCTGCACATGACAAAGCCAATCAACTTCTCTAGGGATTTCCACAGTGCCTTTCCTTTAACATTCAATTAAGCTAGTTAAGTCTGCGCTTTTAACTTTTTAACACAAATGTTGGCCCTACCAAGTTTTCTTTTTTGAGGAAGATTAGCCCTGAGCTAACGTCTGCCACCAATCCTCCTCTTTTTGCTGAGGAAGACTGGCCCTGAGCTAACATCGGTACCCATTTTCCTCTACTTTATATGTGGGATGCCTTCCACAGCATGGCTTGACAAGTGGTGCATAGGTCCGCCCCCCCAGATCTGAAGCAGCAAACCCCAGGCCCCTGAAGCAGAACGTGTGAACTTAGCTGCTACACCACCAGGCTGGCCCCCACCAGGTTTTCATTAATAAAATGGGGATTGACATTACTAGGGAGAATTTTGAAAATGAGTGCGATAAATTAATTCAACATTTACTTAGCTTTGGATTATAAAGATTAATAAAAATGTTCTTTGTTCAGCAAGCAGTCATAGATTGATTGGAGAGGCAATATGTCAGCTAGGGGATGGTCCTCTTAACCTGGGGTCCATGGGCTGGATGGACTTGGGGAAGGGGCTACTTAATGAGATCATTGGCGGAAATTTGGATGTATGTGCATTTTTCTGCGAAGATTCATTACTCTCATTAGATTATCAACTCAAGACTTCCAAAAGAAAAACAAATATTGATGTAAGCAGATAGTTTTAATACACTAAAATGTTACAATAATGAGATATGACCAATATTATGGGTAAACAAAGAATAGAGCACCTTCTTTCTGCTTGGAGGAAGGCTTTGTTGGTCAGGGTCTTGAAGAACAGATAAGAGTTGAGTGGCACAGACGGCAAGGGCATCTCAGGCAGAAAGAACTACATATGCAAAATAATGGGTTCTCGAAAAAAAAAAAAAGAGTATTTGGGAAAAAGTTGAGGAGCACGAGTACACAGTGAGAAATATACAGGGCCAGAGACCGGCAAGCTTTGTACACTGTGTGGACCGTAGAGAGCCAGGAGAAATCTTTAAAAATAGGTTTTTACACTGGCAGTTGTGTGAAGTATATAAACATTTCTAACGAGGTCTCTTCTCTTCCTGCCTTACTAAGCAGGTGACTTGGGCAATGAGGTCTACTGTTCCTGAAGGCTGGAAAAGTTGGAGAACCAGAGCTCTAGGACCCAGCCAAGCCCATGGCAAAATTCTGAAGAATATGTAAAATCTGCCATCTTTTCCTACTTCTTTTCTCTCTCCTATCCCTTCCTCGCCCTTCGTATGCCCAGGATCTCTTTGGTTTCCATCTTCCAGAGGTCTAAAATGGTGGAACTCTAAGGGACTTAGGAGTTATTTTGGTCCAACTTCCTTATTTTACAGTCTTGGAAATAGATTCTGAGTGAGGAAATGATTTACTCTCCGTGTCTCCCCTTCTATCTCTGGCTTGGTGTGGGGTCTTTTGCTCTTCTCTCTCTCTTCTCAGGAAATCTCATGGACTCCTTTGGCTTCAACTAGTATCCCTGTACCAAAGACTCCAAGATTTGTATTCCCAGCCCTATTTTTTCTCTCTAAGCCCCAAACCCTTTGTCTACAGAACGTTTCTATCTGATGTTTTATGTTCTCCTGAAACTCCGCATGTCCAAAGGTAAATCTTTCTCCACTCCTACGAATCTCCTCTGGTGTTCCCCACATTAGAAAATGGCACCTTGGGGCCAGCCCCATGGCAGAGTGGTTAAAGTTCCAGGCTCTCTGCTTTGGTGGCCTGGGTTCATGGGCTTGGATCCTGGGCACAGTCCTATTCCATTCATCAGCCACGCTGTGGAGGCATCCCACATACAAAATAGAGGAAGTCTGGTACAGATGTTAGCTCAGGGCAAATCTTCCTCACCAAAAAAAAGAAAGAAAGAAAGAAAGAAAATGGCACCTCATCCACCCAATTAGCTCAAATCAAATCAGGTATCATCCTCGATACCTCTTTCTCCTTTAGTGTCCTCCCCCAAATCCAATCACCAAGACCTCTTATTTTACCCCCTAAAATGTCTGGTTTGTCCATTTCTCACTGTCTTCAGTACCACTATATTACACCATTATCTTTTGCCTGGACTTACTGCAATGCTCTTCTAACTCCTAATCTACTCTTTTCTCCCTAAATGTATTTTCTGCACTGCAACGAGAGTGAAATTCTTAAAACACAAACCTGGGAATGCTATGCTCCTATCAACCCTTTACTAGCTGATCATCATTTGCAGCTAACGACTAACGTTCGTATTTTTCTCCTTTCTGCCCAATTCTCCAGTCTTACCTGCTGCCACCCTGTCTCTCATTATGCATCAGTCATGCTGGCCTTCTTTCAGTTCCTCACGAGTGCCAAGTTCCTTCCCTGCTTGGGGCCTTTGCACACATTGCTCTCGCATTTCCTTTTCCTCATTGTCTGGTCAATTTCTGGTCATCCTTCAGGTTTTAGCTGAAGCTCATGACCTTAGGGAAAACTTCCTTGCCCCCCCCCCCCCCCCCAATAGGGCAGGTCCACCTAATGCCTTCTCCTTGCACTTTGCACAAGTGTAATTGAATAACTATTTGAATAACTATTTGCTTACTGTCAGTTTTTCTGACTAGTTTATAAGCTTCAAGGGGATGTGAACTCTTAAGACTCTGTCCAGCACATTGCGTGGCCCTCAGTAAACACATGTTAAAAGATGGATTGAATGCTTTATCTACCCAGCGGCAGAGCTGAAACTCAAACCCAAAACCATTTCCAGCATCGTATTCTTTTCTCAAACCATTAAGGGTCTGTCCCCATAAACTGATACCCTACTCTCCAGACTTCCTCTTCCTCTTCTCTCCCAGTGATTAAATATATGAGTTACGTGTGTTCTGTTCAGGAGCCTGTTAAAGCCAGTCTGGTAAACTAATCCAGGTTTAGAAATTATCCTTTCCCAAGCATATTTGCATTTTAACTGGGAGCTCCTGGAGGACAGAGAGTAATCCCAAAGGAATAGAAATTTCAGGCACTATGAAGATATCATTGGAAGGAGGGAATGTTCACCATCATCCCTTAATGAGATTATACGAAAGGAACTTCAGTGTACCAGACTTACTTTAATGTCTGTGTTGTTTTATGTTTTTAAAAAATTTACCTTCATAACAAATCTGTTAGGTAGATTTTATTACCCCTTTATCAAATGAGGGAATCTCTGGACGGTTTAATAATTTACCTAGTATTGTAAATCTGGTGGGGAGGCCACTATTTATTCCTCCCCCTCCGAGGATATGACTCCTGGTCTAATCCTCTTTTTTCCCATACCATGCTGCTTTCAAGGGTAAGTGTACGCAACTGCTTCCAGTTTATACATAAATCTTGGCCGTGGGGTTAACTGGCTGAGTATCTTAACAAAAAAAAGGATTACTAGGTTTTTCTTTTTAATTCCCTTGGTGGCATCTATGTTCTGAAATTTGACATTTTACTGTCTGCCAGAAGTCCATCACATTTGATGCCTGACCTTATTCATTCCAACCATAAATGTGATCATGGGCAGAGAAAATGCTTTGAGCACTTTGAGCAAAATTATGTTGCAAAATCCAAGATGCTATGTTATTTATTTTACTAGTGAGTCCACCAAAGCCTCCTGTATCCAGGGAGTGGATGGTATCAGGTTGACCCTGAATAGTGCATTATTTATCTGCTTACTACTATTTGCAATAACAAAAGCTACCAGGAGATGCGCTGTCCTCATATCAAATATCCCTGCCTCACTTGGGTTTGCCTCTGATTAAAAATGCTTTTGCCCATCCTTTGGATCTCCGGATTCTGGGTCCTGAAAACAGGATGTCTCTCAGGGGTGGAGGGACACTGTTGTGTTCCTCTTCGTGTCAGATACACCGGCTATTTAAAAGCTTTGTGACCTTAGGCACATTACTTAACCTGTTTCCCCAGTTTTAAATGGAGAAACTGTTAGCTACTTTGAAGATGCGGAAAGCCTCTGTTTGAAAGCACCTAACAAGGAAGCCTAACTCACAGCAGGTATTCAAATAGCGTTAAATTTCCTCCTTCCCAAATAAGGACATTCCCTCTTGATGTCCATAGATTTATAGGTTCTCAGGACTGAAAGTACATGTAAAATTTTGTGTAGATGTATGAAGTGTGTTTTTTTTGGAAATAAAGCCCACAGTTTAACAGATTATCACGGAGGCCAGTGACTTGGCTAAGAAAGAATTGTAGATTCTCCTCCGTGCAATGCTAAAGGGTGAATCTCCTTTTCAAGGGACAAGATTTTTTGTGGATTTTTTTGTTCTCTGGGCACTCTTTTTGCAGTCTGCTAACAGAAGAAGATAATCAGGCCCCTGGGCTCCCCAACCATGTCATTCTCGGGGCAGGGTCCCCATTACGTTTCCCTAGGGGCTCTGTGACCCCTCTTTGGGTTCCCCCCCAGATGGGGGTGGGGTGCCATCTGTAGCTGGGAAGGTTTATTTTAAGGTCTCTCAGACTTCGGGAATTGCTTCCTCACTGAAAAACCGGCTTTTGTGTGTTTCCTCAGGCTAAAGCTACCCTCTCCTGGTGTTAGTCAAAACCTCGCGGTGCGACCCCGAACGCCCCCACCCTCCTAGGCCCCAATCCCGAGGCTGTGGGGGCGGGGAGGCAGCGCACGCCGCTTCCGCTCCTCCAGGCCAGCAGAGGGCGCTGCGGCTCCGCCTCTTCATTCCCGGGGTGCTTCGCGCCGGGCCCCTTCCGCGTGGGTGAGTGAATGTGAGAGTCAGCGTCGCGCCGCGCGCGCCGCCCGCCTCCGCCGCTCGGCGCCCTTATTTCGGCTGCGAGGGGCGGGCGCGCGCGTAAAGGCATAGAGACGGGCGTTGAGCTGTCGGGCTAGAGCGTCGCCGAATCGGAGCCGGAGCCCGAGCCGCGCGCTGTGTCTCCGCTGCGTCCGCCGAGGCCCCCGAGTGTCAGGGACAAAAGCCGCCGCCGCGCCGCCTGCTCCCGCCGCCGGGGCTCATCCGCCGCCGCCGCCGCAGCCCTGAGGAGAGTCCGCCGCCGTCGCCACCCGTGAGGATCCGAGAGCCATGTCGGCCAGCAGCCTCTTGGAGCAGGTACAGGCCCGGCCCGCATGCCTCGGCCATTGTGTGAGGCGAGAGGGAGCCTGACTAGGCCCGGGCCCGCCGCCCCCGGTCGGGCCGAGCCCAGGCGGCGCCTCTGGCGGGCCGGGTTTCGGGCCTCGCAGGCTGGCCGCACCCAGCGCCTCGCGCTCAGCCGCCTCTGCCCGCGTCTCCGGGCCCCCGGCCGCGCCGCGCTCCCTCCTCTCAGCGGGCCGCGTTTTCTTCCTTGTTTCCTTCCCCTTCCTTGAAGCGCCGGTTTCCTCGCGGCGCTTCTGGCGCGTCCTCCGCGGGCCCGCCGGCCTGGCGCGTTCCCCCGCCTCCCGCTTCCAGCCTCCCCCTTGCCCCCATCCCTGACGCCTCTCCTCAGGCCTGCTCCTTTATCCCCTCTCGGGCCCGGCTTTAATTTGTCTTCCCTTTTCGATTTCTTCCTCGGACGACTTGCTGCTCGGCGACGTTTCCTTCGCCCGCAGAGACCAAAAGGTCAAGGAAACAAAGGTGAGCCCAGCTCCGCCGGTGGCCCCGGGCCGGGAGGGGGGCCCCCGAGTGGTGGGGGCGGGGTCTCCGGGAAGCGCCTCGGGGAGAGGACCTTTCGGAAGCCGCTTAGTTCGCAGGTGCCTGCCACTTAAGTATTTGACCCTTTTGGTGTGTTCTTGCAGCTGGCCAACAGCTTTTTAGTGAACAAGGAGTAATTCATTAAGGGTGGGGGTGGATGCGGTTTTGAAATGTCCCAGGTCCTTAGTTTCCTGTAGGTCTTAGAAGGCCTTTGTTTTTCATCCTCGTGGATCGCACTCTGGAAGTACTCACATGTGATGGGGGAGGGGAAGCGGGAGGGAATTGAAATCGAGAGGCGCCAATAAAATGACCTTTTTAGATCAACTTGCTCTGGGTGGAGGGAGACATTTTCAGTGACGGATGTTGCTCAGCATTCGCTCTCGTCTTTATCGTTCTGAAATTCAAACTGATTTGCTCTGTTTAGTAAGGTTTTTATCTCTGGTTAGAATATGTTTGATTAATTTGGGGGGGGAGGTTGTGCGATGGAGACACTCCTAATTTGAGTTTTTTTCCTTTAGTACAAAATGGATCTGTACATCAAAAGGATGGATTAAACGATGATGATTTTGAACCTTACTTGAGTCCGCAGGCAAGGCCAGTGAGTAGTTAACCATTTACATGCCTGATCAAAGGGTCTAGTATACCGTTATACCTTCGCCGCCCTGTCAGTAAATCTCATTTCCGGGGGTGACTTTCTTAATTCCAGTCAATGTGTTGTAAAAACAGTTGTTACAAATGTTAATAGACTTTTAAGATCCCCACGTCTGTTGTCAGCAGACATTGTATCCTGAGACTAATATTGATAACATTTTACAGCGTAGTAACAGTAACACTCGTTTGAGTAATTCTTCCTCCTTACCAAGAATAGAAGAGTGCAAAACTTACAAATACTTCCTGGTGTTAGGTGTTCTGAATTTTCATCCCCTAACCCTTTTTCTTTTAGGAAAATTGGATTCATGTGTGTTGGGAAAACTGATATAAAATCACCTGAACTTTATTCGGTGCTGCAGAACTAGTTAGCGGGTTCTTAGATTATCAGAACTATTTTGGAGTTAGGTACTCGTTGTAGAGTTGAGCTGTATCTATAGAGACCAACTTTGTAAACCTCTGGCTTCTCACTTAAGAGAACTATAGGACTTACGAAATGGAGTTAAAGGAAGATGAAATACTAAGCACAGAATACTTTAGCACAAACTAAGATTGAGATTTTTGCAGTGCAATCAGTCGTCCAACGTGTAAATTAGTTGCATATAAGTTCATATGTTGATGTGACCTGTGCATGTGGAAACTTGTTTGATTTGGCAGTTCTTTCATATTAACATCTTGGATCCCAAAGACGTGGTCACAGAGTTTTAGCTAATAAATAGAACTCTCCAGACTAATAAACCAAAAGGAAAATTGACAATAACTTATCCAAAATATTCTAAAAGGTGAAGAAGCTTATGGAACATTTGTGTAAATTCTGAACAGATGCTGTCTGACATGTATAATAGTCTTGAATAAGTTCACATGATAGTGCATGCCCATTTTTGGACCTAATTCTTACATAAAGTTTTCACATTCTCTGTGTAAAATTTTTTGCACTGAAAGTACAGAAACTGCTTAAGCAAGTGATAGGAGAAAAGTTTTCACAGAAGACAACCAGTTAATCAGGAAAAGTAGGAAAGGAAGTAAAGGAATGAACTATTAATAGGTTCCTGCTATTGAAGTAGTTTGCTTACATAATCGTTATAACAGGGAGAGTGGGAGCATTTGGAAACAGAATTCTAGGTAGTTCTTGTGAAACATTGTGTAATTAATTCAGATTTGTGAGCTCAGGGGCATGTGGGAACCTGCCAGTTAAGGTGTAGGCATTCAGGAATATAGTGGCATAACCTGTGATATTAAGTGTTTGTTTTTTATTCCTCAAGCTAAAGCTTACGTGTCTTTTGAAAATTTGAGGGGAAAATACAAATCTTGGTTGAATAGATGAATAACTTGAGAATCTTTGTCCATTGTAGTTTATTGTCAAGAGTATTTCATCTACTTTTTAACCAATTTTTCATTGCCTTGTGTTGGAATAATCCTTTAATTATAGACTGCTTTTCTCTACATAATGAGTTTGGGTCTGTTAAAGTTTTAGCATTATCTTCAAGAAATAACTTCTCTTAAACTTCAGAGTGTGTGAAAAGACTTAGCTTTGTTTAAGGAAAATTTTAAATTAGCAGAGAAAAGCACCGTTTTATCAAACCACATCAGTTGAAATACTCAATCTTCAAGAGATGTGTTTTAGTGGCTAGGGAGAAGTACTGTTGGCTTTGACAGTACAGATTTAAGACCTGACATAGTTATGGTCATCCAAGTCTCTTAAGAGCAAAATTCCCTATTGATTAGTCAGTGGATTCTTTTATACCAGAGCTGTTTTGAAGTTACGATAAAGTACTCTCTTTTTTGAGTTGAGCTGTATCTACATCTATAGGGGCCAGTTTTATATACCTCTCACTTCTTGTTTAGGGACTGTTCTTTGAGCTATAAAGCTTTAAAAAAGTTAAAATACTTTTCAGCACAAACTAAAGATCAAGAATGGTTGGGGGTTTTGCAGTGTAATGTCTTCTAATGTAAAGACTAGTTGGTGTAAGTTTATATTTCTGGTTGTTATTCTTTAGGATGATTCCTTTTTTAAAGATACGGATTGAATGGTGTCTTTAGAATTATACTCCTATTTTTAAGTACATTTCAGCTTACAGTCATTAATTTCATAGGTGAAGCAGAACAGTGAGTAACATTTTAAATCCTCTGGAAGCCATGGTGCATTTCCTTTCCAGGTTATAATTAAATAATGTCATCTCCTGATGTTCCCAGATGGTTTGGCAAGAGGCTAACGCTAAACTAGATATAGTGAACCTTGCATTTTGGTTTATGGTTGAGGAATGGTTGCACAGTTTTTTGGGATAGAATTTGAAACTTCCAGTTCTTTTCTTTTCATTTTGTTGTCTTCCTTAGTATAGTATGGTTTTGGTAGGAAGCTCTTTTGAACACTCCTCCATTATGCCAAAATTCCCATTCCTTCAATCCAGAGATACTGGTTTTATTAAAAGCCTCATCTCAGCACTTCTATAGAGCAAGACTTACTCTGTTGGTGAGATAATGGCTTTTCCCTTTTCCAAATTGTGCTAAAGTTAAGGCCCATATTCATTTGTATGTCATTTTAACTTTAAATGTTTAAACGTTTCAGTTATTAAGCCAAAATATCTTATGATATAAAAATACCAGCAAGTTCATGGGAAGAGACCATTTGAAATGGTCACTCTCCTTGTTTATATTAGTGGCTTAAACCTTTGAGTTGTGTAAATAATTGGGAGAGGAAATGTCCTGGTTATTGTTTCATTTATTTTTGTGTTTAGTTTTGATTTACCGTTTTTTTTTTTCTCCACAGAATAACGCGTATACTGCCATGTCAGATTCCTACTTACCCAGCTACTACAGTCCCTCCATCGGCTTCCCCTATTCTTTGGGCGAAGCTGCTTGGTCTACTGGGGGTGACACAGCCATGCCCTATCTAACTTCTTATGGACAGCTGAGCAACGGAGAGCCTCACTTCCTACCAGATGCAATGTTTGGACAGCCAGGAGCCCTAGGTAGCACTCCATTTCTTGGTCAGCATGGTTTTAATTTCTTTCCCAGTGGGATTGACTTCTCAGCTTGGGGAAATAACAGTTCTCAGGGACAGTCTACTCAGAGCTCTGGATATAGTAGCAATTATGCTTATGCACCTAGCTCCTTAGGTGGAGCCATGATTGATGGACAGTCAGCTTTTGCTAGTGAGACCCTCAATAAGGCTCCTGGCATGAATACCATAGACCAAGGGATGGCAGCACTGAAGTTGGGTAGCACAGAAGTTGCAAGCAATGTTCCAAAAGTTGTAGGCTCTGCTGTTGGTAGTGGGTCCATTACTAGTAACATCGTGGCTTCCAATAGTTTGCCTCCAGCTACCATTGCTCCTCCAAAACCAGCATCTTGGGCTGATATTGCTAGCAAGCCTGCAAAACAGCAACCTAAGTTGAAGACCAAGAATGGCATTGCAGGGTCAAGTCTTCCACCACCCCCAATAAAACATAACATGGATATTGGAACTTGGGATAACAAGGGTCCTGTGGCAAAAGCCCCCTCACAGGCTTTGGTTCAGAATATAGGTCAGCAGTCAACCCAGGGGTCTCCCCAGCCTGTAGGTCAGCAGGCTAACAATAGCCCACCAGTGGCTCAGGCATCAGTAGGGCAACAGACACAGCCATTGCCCCCACCTCCACCACAGCCTGCCCAGCTCTCAGTTCAGCAACAGGCAGCTCAGCCAACCCGCTGGGTAGCACCTCGGAACCGTGGCAGTGGGTTCGGTCATAATGGGGTGGATGGTAATGGAGTAGGACAGTCTCAGGCCGGATCTGGATCTACTCCTTCAGAACCTCACCCAGTGTTGGAGAAGCTGCGATCCATTAATAACTATAACCCCAAGGATTTTGACTGGAATCTGAAACATGGCCGGGTTTTCATCATTAAGAGCTACTCTGAGGACGATATCCACCGTTCCATTAAGTATAATATCTGGTGCAGCACAGAGCATGGTAACAAGAGACTGGATGCTGCTTATCGCTCCATGAACGGGAAAGGCCCCGTTTACTTACTTTTCAGTGTCAACGGCAGTGGACACTTCTGTGGCGTTGCAGAAATGAAATCTGCTGTGGACTACAACACATGTGCAGGTGTGTGGTCCCAGGACAAATGGAAGGGTCGTTTTGATGTCAGATGGATTTTTGTGAAGGACGTTCCCAATAGCCAACTGCGACACATTCGCCTAGAGAACAACGAGAATAAACCAGTGACCAACTCCAGGGACACTCAGGAAGTGCCTCTGGAAAAGGCTAAGCAGGTGTTGAAAATCATAGCCAGCTACAAGCACACCACTTCCATTTTTGATGACTTCTCACACTATGAGAAACGCCAAGAGGAGGAAGAAAGTGTTAAAAAGGTAACCAGCTTACCATTCTTAAGACTTAGGGAAGGAGAAGGAACTAGAGAGAACAGGAGAGGTATTATACTGAACCATTAATAAGAGCTCTGTAAACAACACACCTATCACTTAACAGTTGAACCCTTTATGGAAGTATAGTTGGTCTTAACTATTTGAACCTTAGTGTGAAGGAATGTGGGAACATTAATGGAGGACAGAAATGTGGGCTTAAAGGAAAGCAGAAACAATGTTGGTGAAGAATGAGCCTGAAAGAAATGCAGAGGGAATAATCGAAGTGACAGAATAATGAAAATTAAAGTAGGAAAAGTTTGAGACTGTAAAATGGCATAGAAAAAGATGAAAGTGTTGTTGCAATTAACGTTTGACCTAGAGTACTGTGGTCTCTATTTTCAAGAGGAGTTGTGTCACCAAGTCCTGACATAGCTTTTTGAGCCTGCTTTCTGACGACGGGCAGTGTTATGGGGATGTTTTTCAGAACTTTCTTCCTTGCTCCTATCCTTCCTAGTGTTCTGCTTAATTACTTTTTTCAAAACCTTTTTCCCATTAATGTTTATTATATAAAACTTGGAAAACAAGATAATCAGAAAAAGCTGGCCTCTTGCTCTTAACATTTTGTTGTATTCCTGAAGACTCACTCTCCTTTGTTTCCTCTGTACAAGTGGTAATCTTGGGCGGAGTGATGGAAAATAGGTCCAAACTAGAGAGTTGAACTTATTTTGAAAGTTAGTAATGCTGGGTCCTTGAGTATTGAGTGAGTGTAAACTTTTACCATTTAGAGAATGGTAAAATATTGGGGCAGACCATATGTTATCTAGGACTTAGCTGTATTTAAATGTAGGAAGTAGGTGAAAAGATTATGGGCAAGGAGAAAATTTTTTTAAAAGATCTATATATAGGGGCCGGCCCCATGGCTGAGTGGTGAAATTTGCGCACTCTGCTTCGGCAGCCCAGGGTTTTGCGGGTTTGGATCCTGGGCGCAGACATGGCACTGCTCATCAAGCCATGCTGAGGCGGCATCCCACATGCCACAACTAGAAGGACCCACAACTAAAAATATACAACTATGTACCAGGGGTCTTTGGGAAGGAAAAGGAAAAATAAAATCTTAAAAAAAAAAAAAATCTGTATATTAATGGTTGAGAGAATCCTGAGCAGTTAGCTTCAAATCTAAAGTAAAAACCAAAAGCTAACAAGCTTATATAAATATGTTTTCCTTAAATTTGTCATGAGTTCCTAGGGATCTTACATCTTTGCTTTAGGATCCAAAGCACTTGTTATGCCTCTATAAACATGTATTCCTTTGAGCAGTAGGAGGGCTCTTTGGTAGAGTCTGCACCTCCAGAACAGAGAATCAGGTGCATAGTCGTTTAACTAAAGTAGGATGGTTTCCATCTTGTTTTCTAGTGTGTGTAGATGATTAAGAAATGAAGATATGCTTGTCAGTGATGCCAAAAGTATTGGGGATATGGAGCCAGATTACTGAAAAGTTGGCTGTCAGAAAAAACTTTGTCCTTTTTTGTCTTTTAAATTCTCTTCTTCCTTTCCCCAAAGTTTAACAGTTTAACCTGAAATCTGCCATAATCTTGCAGAAAAAGCTAGTTTACTGATTGTTTTTACCAGACATCTGAAAGGCTCTAAAGATGTCTTCACAGGCTCCTCTTTCTAGGGGAACAGGGAATGAGGCCATGATCCTTTAGGCATCATGTAGTGGCATGACAGATTATTAACGGGTGTGAGGGGCATTCTAGTGCTTGGTTTAACCACTTGAACCGTGCATAATATCTATCCCATATTAAGAATCTGCTTGCTTTCATCTGCAAAGTTTTGTCCTGCATCTTGTGATTAAAAGCAGAAAGGCAGAGAGGAATATTTTTAAGAATGCACAGCATAGATACTAAGATAAACTTGGGTGTATTAGAACTAGTGAGGAAACTTGGGTTTAAAAATGAAGTAGCAGGGGCCAGCCTGGTGGCATAGCAATTAAGTTTGCACACTCTGCTTTGGTGGCCCGGAGTTTGCTGATTCGGATCCTGGGTGTGGGCCTAGCACCGCTTATCAAGCCATGCTGTAACAGATGTCCCCCATATAGTAGTGGAGGAAGACGGGTACAGATGTTAGCTCAGGGCCAGTCTTCCTCAGCAAAAAGAGGAGGATTGACAGCAGATGTTAGCTCAGGGGTAATCTTCCTTAAAAAAAAAAAAAGAAAAACGAAGTAGCACATTTGAGGACTGTTAATTTATGTAAACTTTTAATCAGGTATGTATTTGTATTAAATTCACTTGAGTGGTTCATTGAATGGTAATTGAACTTAATAAGTAGGTGTAAGATTCATATGTTGGAATTGACCAGCCTTGTGGTGTTTTCGTAGACTGTGATAATAATCAAGGTTTAGCTTCTTTGTTAAGCTAACTAATGGATCTTTCTTAACACCATTCCATAAAGACTTTTGATGAATGAATATCCTCATTGTTCTGAAGCTGGTAAACAGACCACCAAAAACAGAAATAAAAAAAACTTTGATTTTTACTTGTGTCAGATTACTTTTTAGTTTACCTTCTTTAAGAAGAGCTTGCTGAGGTTTCAGGAAGGTCCCTACGATTGCTTCTAGACCCAGTTACCGTTTCAGTCAGTATTGCCTTAACTCCTATGTTTGCCCACTATTATCCTTAACATCCTTACGTAACTGACTGTAAACTGTTCTTCCAGTCTTTATTAGGCTTTCAAGACAAAACAAGTTTCATGAGAACGGACTGATAGCTCTTTGAGGCAGTAGACTCCCTTAGGTGGGGTGTTTGTGTTCCTTTGTATTTATAATATTGCAAAAAATCTTAATGCCAAATGAGCATAGTAACACAATAAGTACGGAAATAACTTAAACGTCGTCCTGAAAACGTCACAGCTATTCTAAAGTTCTGTGTATGGGCATGTATTTGGCAGAAGACCCTGAACCGGAACTAAAGCCGTTTTTGCCTAGTATTACTGATTTCTTCTGTCACCTGATCTAATTCAATATCATAGAACCTTCAAGCATTGGATCTGCCTGGCTTGAAACTTCCAGCAGATTTTAGTGACATCTTCCATATTTGGTTACTCTATTGTATACTTCAGATACTATTTTGCAACCTGCTTTCTGCTTTTGTTTAGAACCTTTCCCTAAAGGTTAAATGTTCTTCTGTGACATCACTTTTGATGGCTTCATAGTATTCTATCATAGATTTATTATAATTTACCAGTCCGTTGTTGAATATATCAGCTACTTTTTAATTTTTCTAGGTAAAGTAACAGTACAGTGAAATTCTTTGATATAAATATTGATTCACATCTGTCCTTTAGTGTTATTGCTGGGTCAAGGGATGTGTGCTTTTAGAAGGTCTTGGCTGTGCTAAATATTGCCATATAGGCCTTTTTCTTACTGAAAAATTTTTTGAGAGAATTACTGTCAGCTCTTCAGAAAAGTGAGTTTTCCCTTTGTCTCAACTTTGGAATAGTCTGGCATAAAGGGAGAGTTATTGCCTCCATTAATGATAGGCTTTTTATAAATCTACTAATATTGGTTTAATTTTTGTCTTTCATTTCTAGCCTTTTAACTATAGGTAAAAATAAGAAGAACGTAGTAGAGGGAACTAAGGACTGTATAATTCTCTTAAAGGTTAGCCCAATGTTAGACTCACTCAGGCACTTGGGTAAATGATTTTTCTGAATAATTGGAAAGCTAATGGGAGAGTAGGGAGAGAGAGTGAGATCTAGAGAAGATATGCTTATAGTGACAATAGCTTAAGGCATATATTTTTAAAAATTTCATTGCTATTAAGTGAGAATAGCAGGATTTCTTAAATAACCTCTGGAATTATTCCTGTTTTCAGGCAGAAGATCTAAAAATAGTGACTTGAAGTGTGTTTGGGTATGCTTAAAATTTATGCTTTATGTTAAGAATTGAGATGAAGCTATTCATCTTTTCTTCAAACAACTTTACTGTGTGCTAGACACTACAGAGAAACCAGGAGTGTATTGTCAGGGAGCCTTACATTAGTGACAGGTAACAGTACAAAACAGAAAGTGTTTTCTCAAGGTATGCACAGGGTACCAATTTGGAAGCTTGAAGATTGCCTAACCCAGCCTGGGGCATGGGTGGATTGGTTGTAGAAGAATCCTGGAAGAAGTGATCTCTGAGCTGAGCCTTGAAAGATGTATAGAAGATAGCCAGAGGTGTTTTGGAAAGAGTGAAGATAGGTTCAGAATAGCCCAAATCTGTGACACTGTATAGATGATAACTTGGAACAGGAATTTCTGTACACTTCAAGAACAAGTCTAATTGGTATTTGTGGAATGGGTTTCCCAAAAGGGAAGTTTGGAGATTACATTAGGAAAAGGGAGTTGAATGAAAAGTTTATGTAGTTTGATGTGGAAGGAATCTACTGAGACAGGTACAAAGTTGGCTTTAAGAAAAAAGGACTAGATTTTAAAAGAATGAGGAGTAAGGTGTAATTTGAATCAGGATGGAGGAGCCGTCTTATTTCTCATCATAATATGCCTTAGTGTTTAGCAGAGTATTTAGCATAGAAGAGATGAATTTAGAAGGGGAATATGATAGGTGTTATCAGATGCTTCTAAAATTCTGATAGGTTTATTCTCCTTACCAAAATACACTGCTAGAACCAATGGGTAGATGTTATAAGGAGGAAGATTTTTGTAAATGAAAAGGAGAACTTTCTAAAAATGGAGTTCTTAGTCACAGGAGAATTTCAAAAAGAGACTGAAAGAACTTTTATTAAAATATGTTCTAGAGGGCCGGCCTGGTGGTGCAGCAGTTAGGTTCACACGTTGTGCTTCGGCAGCCTGGTGTTCACTGGTTCAGATCCCGGGGGCGGACATGGCACTGCTTGGCGAGCCATGCTGTGGCAGGCGTCCCACATATAAAAAGTGGAGGAAGATGGGCATGGATGTTAGCTCAGGGCCAGTCTTCCTCAGCAAAAAGAGGAGGATTGGCAGCAGATGTT